CTGTTCAACATACTTTCTTTCATATAAATTACAGGCTGCAAGACATAGTATGTAGACAACCTTGCCAGGGTGGGGTGTTGACCATTCAGCTCCACCAGACCGCGCAGGTAATTCTGCACATATCCTTCCTTCTTATAATTCGTGATTTCTGAGATACGACCCATGACGATCTCCTTGCGGATTTGTGATTTGTGTTTTTGGATCTCAATCATTCCCTTTTCCTACTACGTTCACCCATTGAGCTGGATCCAATTAATTTCTACTTTGTTTGTACTTAAACGGAAGTTCGACAGATGTGGGGTTGCTGTTGCTGGTTGTCGTCAGCTGTTGGACAGTTCTTTTCTTCGAATCCCACTGAAAATCGCTATGGGCATAGGGTTTCCCATAATACAGCGGGCATCGCTATGTGCCATAGGGCTACCATAACCAACCGGGAGAGCTACCCGTCTTGCACATTCTCCCCTCTGACAGCCCCTACTTCTGAATTTTCATAGTCTGTGGACATTTAGGCTGGAATATCATAAGGTGCTTTTGTGAAATTTGGAAAAACGGAGAGTATGAGCATTGGTTATAGTCCGTGCAACTTGCTCTATCTAATGCTGCTTAATATGAAACTGCAAGATTGCCCCCATGAAAGCTTTTTGATTATCATAAAGCGTGGTGTCAACAGAAACGTCACTGACACCAACCACTTATCAGGAAGTGCCTTACAGGTGATAAACAGCTTGCAACAGTTTTGTTTACGGAAAGGTTCAAAGCAATCAAAAGGGAATTCCTCACAAGCCTACCCCAAAGTTCGATTACGCTTTCTCTGAACAATCTTCTTACGAGCACAGTCTCAGCCCGATCGATAGTCGATAGCAGCTTGTGCTGACCAAAGCACTGGCTCTGAAATTTCCTTGGAAGTACTGCATGCACTGGGAATCTCGAAGAGTAAGGATGAAGCACTTCGCCTTCAGTTAGTTCGTTTAGTTGTAGAATGTGGCCATGCATTAGTCTTTCAGTAATATCGTATTTGCGTTTGAATGCGTATGTGGCCTGTACACTGAGTTGCGGGTTCCAGCCGTCGTATAAGCCAGTGCTTTTATCCTCTCAGAAGGCAAACAGCACTGGTAGAGTAGGTGATTTGATTGGTCTGACCGGTTACTTACCTGGGAACCGATTCACAGGCCATGCGTGTGGTATTGAACTAGTTGAAGCGACCTCATCTCCGTCCTTGGAAAAATTTACACTTAAGAAATATCCCTTTCGCCTCTGCATAGCTGGGAGAGACTGACATTGTTTCTATAACCCCTTCGTGTGCAATTGAAATATGGAATTGAAAAAAAGATTCCTACAGATGAGTCCGTTACTGATTAATGACCCGAGTTAGTCAGGAGACTTGATTGGCTTAGGCGGATAACGATCTGGGATTTGAACCCGTGACCGTGTGTGTGTGATAGTACTGCATTTGCCACTACCCGTTCTCATTTAGCTCAAATTAAATCTAATTTCGATTTTTTCGAATCGATATTTGAGGACCTCTTCTTTTCAATCCCTTTGCAGTTCCTGTCGTCGTTCGCTCAGTGCTCACTCCTTCAATCGTTATTTAGTTCGCGCAATCTAATCCAAAGAACAAACTGGTGTCTGTTTGTGTTCTCACCCAAGTCTCGCACTCTGATTTAGGTAGATTCGATAGCTATAAGCATTTCACTCCTTTGAGCTTGTATATAACTTCTTCACTTGATTTTCCATTCATTTCAGACTTCAAAACCACCCATTCATTGTTTTTCCAGAGTACGTTGGAAAGAATAGAATATAAAATAAATAAATAGTCATAAAACGCAGGATAGAGCCGTTCAAATAGTGAGAAGCTAATCTCGTGAAGGGGCTGCTCTTTTGCCCAATCTGACCTTCATACTCATACGGTTCTTTTTAGGTCTATCGAAGCTACTTATACGACCATACTCATATAAATCCTAGAGGCCCTAGCCGTTCTGTTTTCTTCCCCTTTACTATTTTACTTTGAAGTATTCCCCTATAACTTCATTTACCTGAACTCATGCTTGGATTTTCTTCGTGATTTCAGTACCTGCTATCGCTACTGCGTCTATTTTACTTCAGAGTATCGTAGTACATCTTCCACGGAAATTTTTTATCGTTTAGCAGTTTGAGTCCGTTTCCCATCTCGGAAACGTTTTTCTCCGAATTTTTTGAAACCAGAACGAATGTTACTTGAAATGCAGGGTGAAGCGTGAATAGATTTTCATGACAAAAGGAATTTCCTTCAGCGTGATCAGTCCTGTATAAGGAATGCGCCCCGCAGTACCATTCAAAGTTGTATTGGCCGTTTTTAATGCTTACGTGGCCTATACAATGACTTGTGGTCGTCAGCCAGTGTTCAAATCAATGATTCATTCTCACAGACGACTCTGGAACTAGTACACTGATTTAAGAGGGATGGAAGGCCTGGTAGCCTAGACTGATATCGATCCGGGAGTCGATCCTCGAACCATACGTATGAGATAATGCGCCCTTTGCTGCTATACCACCTCCGCCCCCTTCAAAGTGAAACGTCTCATGTGATCGTCATGGGTTAGGGATCGCATCCATCGCAGGCCAGTGAGGAGAATAAAAAAGAATGATAGGGATTAGGAAAGAAATCAAGACTATTCTGTTACCATAGTTGTGCCGCACCCTGTATTACGGTCGCTTTTTGAAAAGTTTTATGAGAGGAGCCTTTCGTTCTCTCTCTTCTATAGAACTACAGGAGGTCTATAGGACTCAATAGCAAGACTAACATCCCTATTGTTTTCTATTGTTCGGGCAAGACAGCATAAACAGTAGCAACAGTTTGTAAGCATAATCACCTTGCTACATGAATACGATTCGCTGTGTCTGTTGCTTTGTTGGTGTCTTTGTGACTGTTTGTGTGAGTGGGTGTTCGACAGGAAATTCAAAAATATTGTATACTTGGTCCTAGAGCGTTCAGAGCTCAAAAATGTACAGGTGGAAGGGCTGAAAACGTGATGCTGGGTGGTATGAAAGGTCTGATGGGGCCTGATAATGGTCCTCAGAAAGCGAGAGTCACTGAAACGGCTGTGCCTTCCGCGTAAACCCTGAAACTCTGACAATTTGGTTGGTGGGTTAAAGGCACAGTTCACGATAAAAATGACTCTTGAGATTGCCCTATAGTATGGATTCGAGGCTCCCCCTTATACCATTCCTCCCGTTATGAGGTCGAAAAACGTCCTGGTTAGGGCACAATAAAGGGCCAGAGATCGTATCGTGTGATTGCCACACCCATAACGGGCGAATTTCGGCGTTGTAGAAGCTGCACTATCCCAAGAGTCTCCCATGTATGAAGTTCAATTAGCTTGCCATAACCCCTGGCGACAGTGAAAGGCAATTCAGGACAGTCATGGTTTGATGTATTCATCTATTTGAGCAATGGGAGCAAGTTAAACCTCGTCCAAACACCCCTTAAATGCCATGAACGCCATGATCTTGTACACTTCCACTTCCAGCACTTTTAAAAAGCCTTAAATTAGGTGGATTTTCTCGCTTTCTTCGCCACTGTTGTACTCCTCTACATCAGCACTTCCGCTATTCAATCTGGACTCAAAATTAGAGTAAACTGTGCCTCTAAGTGAGATGTGACGGTTAGCTGCTCCCATTTTCGCATTACCAATAGGGCAAAGGGAATCTAGTGGGTGATGTGGGAAGTGAACTGAAAGCCAGTAGGAAGAGGCTTCAGGAGTAACATGCCTTGATAAAGAGTGATAGCGTAGGAGGACGAGATGTGGAACAAAGAATTCCTCGACTTATGAAGTTCCGATGCTCTATGTAGTTTTCAAAGGAGGAGAAGAAGGAACGTCCTAGAAGGTGTTATTGATCATGGAGACAGCCGGCATCAAAACCATACCCTATTCAGAAGCCCTGTCAGAAGGAACAATGATTCATCAGTGAGTGAATGGGCTCTTTTTTGAAGCGAAGGGAATTTTCCCAAAGGGAGGAAAGGCTGGCGTTAGCTGGGCAACCAGGCTGCTAACTTTATATTGGGCACGTATTGCAACCCGCACTACTGATTCCCAATTTGATCCGCGTCTTCTTATTAATCTGACTATTACGGCCCCTTTTTGAAGTAAAGGTATCCTTGTAGTACTAAGGTAATTACTTGTGATTGTTGACTTATACTTCTAACCGGGAGAGGTGCTACGCATCGAAAGACTGCCGTGCAAACACAGAGTTGTAAGAGATTCTTCAAGCTTTTTGCGATAACACTCTAGAGCTCTACTGCCTCCTCAAATCCGATTCCTTACCCACTTAAGGGAGATCCAGATGAAGGAGATACTTCAGATAAACCATGGCAACTCCCTTGCAAAGAGAGGTCAGTAAATTTAATTGAGATAATAAATGTAATAAATGTGGCCAGTTCTGCCGGCCTTTTGTGCGGCTGCAAGAAATTGTTCTGTTTGGGAGCTGTTCACTGACTAAATTGACAACTGTTCATGTATCCGAAGTTCTTTGTTCATTCTCACCATTGAGCTCACTTATCATTAAATAGCAAATCTACTGAGCATGAAGTAGGAAGCCTACCATTTTTGTATGTTTTTCTGGACTCTGTTCATGCCCATGTACCCATTACTCTACCGGGAAAATCGAATGCCATTTTATGCTTTGACTACTACAGGCTCCACAGAAGATGATATTTCTGTCAATACGTATTGTCATTCGCAGTTGTACCTCAAAGTAATGACAAAAGGGTAATATATAGCGTTGTTTTGTAAGCTCTACTCACTCTGACCCCTTCCAACTTCTAAGGGGGGAAGGGCGATGCAAGAGAAGCACTCTATAATGGAAATTTCGTTCCAAACGGATTGTGTGAACCTATTCTCAATCGTGTACAGACTCAAAAAATTCCAGCAGTAGTACCTGCTCCGCTGCCCAAACTACCCGCTCATCGTCATTGCCGATAGGGCTTCCATTTTTCTTTTCTTTTATAAGTTTTATTTTCAGAAATGCACGAACGCTGTCGACTGAAATGGCAATTTCTGGCAGTTTTTGCCTTTATATATTCGCAAGGCCTCGCTCTCAAGTGTTACGTCGGTCAGTTTCGTTTTTTTAAAAAGTTCTTGTTATGATGTTATGAAATTAATTTCGCATATGCTTCACAGAATTTTCAAGTTTTTCGTTCGTAACTTTCGGTATTTACTTCTGTAACTTCTTTTTTTAAATGTTTTTTTCGGTCTACGTGTAATTTTGACAGTATGTGGTACTTTTCCCTTCCTTGTTTCCATTCCATCCTTTTCTCTTCGCTGCCTCAGGTGGCGGACTTCGTATGCTGATTCTCACGGTCACACACATGCACGCAGCCATGGTTTCGTGGCTATCACAGTAACTGACCACTGACGATTCAGCTGCTAACTTTGGTACTACCATGCGCGATGCGGGAGGGCAGCACACCGTTTGGATATAAAATCCCACATGCATTTTTAATAAGTAATAAGGCTCAATAATTCAAAAAAAGGCATAACATCCAATTTTGAAAGAGTGTTCCCAATACTGATCTCACGTCCAAATCGCAGAAAGAACCATCTATCCAGTGTAGTTCAAAGTCAGTTGAAGCCCCCGAGGACTCCTCCGCTACCTACATGTGTATTAAGCCAACTCAATCGAGTCCCTTGATGAAAACTAATAGTCGTTGCCCAGTTCCCCTAGATAGAATTATTTTTTGCCGCCAATACGATTCACTGAGTGATTCCGTAGATAATGCTGTGTTTACGTATACAGAACTAGTTGTTATTTGGGAGCACAATAAACAGCCTGCCTTAATGCTGTTGTGAACGCCCGTGCAGTCCAGCCAGTCCAGTCCACAGTGAAGTTCTATTATGTACTTCCGTTCCGAATATTAAAGAAATATAAGCGAAATATCAAAAAAAAATATAGAAATATGTATGAAATTGGGGCAGAAGTGGTGAAGTGGCGAAAAGCGCACTATCACACATACATAATCATGGGTTCGAACCCCAGATCGATATCCACCTGGGCCAACCAAGCCTTTCATCCCTCCGGAATCGGCTAATTGGTGCCAGACTCGTCTTCGAGGATAGAAGCACTCGCTCTTATACCGACTGGTGACCGCCACTACGATTCCGAATGGAAGGCAAATTCGGAGGCGCGTTTCTCAGACGGGATTGATTAGCCCCTCTTTACTTTATCCTTTTATCGATTAAATGAAATATCAATGTGGATGAAGTAGTTCTGCTAAGCGCAAGCGGCGCTTTGCTCCTAGTTGGAAATTACAGTTTGGGATCGTGGATGGGACAGTTTGGGTTATGGGGATATCTTAGAGAGCTCGAGAATGGCGTTCAGAAGGCCCAGCCGTAACGAAGATTAACCTATGCCACATGTCTATCGTCTCCTTGATCACCGATCTTCTCGAGCGGGTGCCAGTAACGTCTCCACTCATTTCTCCCGTCAGTGTGGCCCAGTGGGTCGTTCCCACGCAAAGAACACGGGGCATAGCAATCCTTCCATTCAAAGCTTTCTTGTAGAACTCTAACCATCTCGCTGGCTGTCGTCCTGGTGTTCGTTTGACGTACAGAGGGAACCTGTCAGGAATTGCCGTCGTCCAATGGTCGTTCGCAAAATCGCATGACGGGGCCGGTTTGCCTCTCTGTTGTCTTGCCGTGAGCATTAAAGTTCCTAATCTTCGTCATTAACAGAATACGAGACTTCAGCCCCTCGTACTTGTGTGTATCAAGAAACTCTGAGCATGTTCTTACCATTAAGGATAAAGCATGAAAAACTTGGCGTTAATCGATCCCTTTTTTTGGGATGCGCCTCGCATTTCACGTCCATTGGCAGTCGTAATGGCGTTTCAAATGCGTTTGTGGCCTATACGGTGGCTTACGATGGTCAAGTCAGTGCTTAAATCCCCTCAAACTAGTGTGGTTCCAATGAACCGAACCTGAGTGTCTAGCCGGTCTTGGTGGGTCTTAATCCGGGGTTCGATTCCCGAACCATGCGCCGCTCGCCGCTACATCACTCCCAAAATACATTCGAAAGACAAGAAAACAATCTAAACACATAATATTATAAATAAACACAAAACTCGTAAACACATCGAACCAGAGTATTATAGATTTATTATTCAGGTTCCAAAGGAGTTTCCAACAATGGGAAGGAAGTGCACAGCTTCTTGCCGAACGAATGCGAAGAAGAAATGACGCACTGTTTCGAATCGTACACAGACGATATGTCACAAATCACCGCCTCTTGCCAATCACTGAATACAGAACAACGACTACTCGACGTTTGCAAAGTAAGGATTTTACTGAACTAAGAGTCAATCCGGGATAGGTCACTCATTACCAATGCCCTCCTACTGTGGCTAGATAAGTTAGGGCAAAATCCACTCGCAATGAGCCCTAACTCATTCCTGGATGGAATGAATGTTCTCACCGTGCAGACGATTTTCCCGAGTTTGAGAAGGCTAGTTTATGTTTGAGTCATCGCGTTTGTGGTCCCGCGTGTGAGATCATGTACCCGAACGGCGTATCGCCCTCGCCGCACCCGCTTAGTCTCGGAGCACACAGTGCGAGGGTAAGGTATAGGTTACCAGTGGATAATTACGGTAATTTCCTTGGAGCCTAGCCATGTGCATGACTGCGATCGTGAGGGTTCGAGCACAAAGTTCGCCACCAGACGTGCCTTCCATTCCAGATAGGCATAGAGTGTCCAATCATCAGACTTGGAAAGGTGGAGGAATTACCTTGGCTGGCTTACAGGTAACTCACGGTGTACAGAACAAATACTTCTTCAAGTATATCTCTGCCTCAGAGTCTATGTTATTTTTGTAGAACTTCCAGGACTGATTGATTGAGTCCATAGTTTTCACTGCCTATAATTCCAAATTTTCATAAACGATGAGAATGAAAAGTGAGAAGTATAGGCGATTGAAAATGCACAGTAGCTTACCAATAAAATCGTCAAATAAAAATTGTCGAAAAGTTGACAGTACAGTTCTTTTTTCGGCGATTCTTCTTGCCTAGAAATTCAATTTAGTCGAGGAGATGTACGAAGAGGGTTTTGAACGAATTGGGAGACGGGCGTTAGGAACGATTTTGGGTAATCGATTTGCCGCACGCGGCTGTCGCGGACCACTCATTNTAATTCTACTATTAGTACTTTTGTACTTGTATTTCTTACCTACTGCTGCATCCTGCTACATTCCTTCGCGCGCGACGCCCTCTCACCGCACCGCGACCATTTCGTTCCTAACGCACCACACCCGAACGAATTCCCTCTTCATGATGTGTGTTTTTTAGAGCGAACGATCGATCCTTCCTTATTGATTATCACATTTTATCGTGGCCAAGCCCTTCCCATTCCCTCTCCCGCCTCTAATTTTAAGACAGATTTTTCAGAAGGCCGCGGTAGGGCACAAGTGGGGGGAGGGGGTGGGAATGTATGCGATCTTCCCTACCTCGGCGGTCTTTTTTTCGGCACTAGGCTCGGAACCCTCCCCGTGCATGCCTTGCATCAGCTTTCGAAATCTACATTTAATTATCACTGGTAATGATAACACTACTGATTTTTGAGATGTCTAATCAAACCATGACATTTCAGGAAGGATGTCGTAATCACACTGACTTGAACGTCACAATATGCTGCTGTGATTCGGATTTATGCAACTTACCACCAGAAGAAAAGAAAAAAGCTACAGAGCAGACTGAAACCACGGAAGACGTAAAGGGCGAATCGATCGAGGAGGATGACCGAAATTCTACCGTACACAGTGGAGAAGAGGAACTTCTACCGATAACATTGGAAGAACTGCTCACCCATCCTAAACTTATTCCATCACCTCATGCTTTGTAGATACTGTGCCCAGAATTGGCACATCTAAAATAAATATTTGAATACGAAACAGTGCGAGTGGTGCAGGGTGTAGTTGGTGCAGTGGCAAATCGCGCGTCATCACACATGCATGGTACTGGGATCGAGTCCTTGATCGATATTCATCAAGGTCAACCAAGCTTTCTATCCCTCCAAAGTCAATTGATTGCTAACATACTCGTCTGAGAAGATTAAAGCACTGACTTGTACTTCGGCTAGCCAACGCAAGTAATTGCGCGGCCACACACCCATCAAAACGCCTCTACGAGTCCAAATGGAAGTTGAATGCGGGTGAATCCCAAACATGGAAATCGTCAGGAAAATGACTTTACTCTTTATTCATATCTGCTCCGAGTAAACCTAACATACAGTGCGTTTCATAATTATAAGGTCACCCTCGATTTTTGCGATTCTGGAGAAAGCAGCTGGAATGGAATTTTTTGGCAAACACAGGAAGATTCCACATCACAATGTACCTCCGTGTTCAAAATTTGGTCGCAATGTCCTTCAACTCAAATTTTTTATGAATTTTTTAAAGATGGTGTCGGCTTTTGCACCGTTTCATAATTATAAAGCCACCCTGAGAAAGTAAATGATTTATTAACGTTGGTGGCATATGCACATCACTTAATAATCTATAGCTCCTCCTTGTATA